CTCTCTGGTTCCAATGGTGCTCCAGTAAGACTGTAATTCCTTTTTCAATCCGACCCACCTCCCCCATTATGGAAACACAACTGTCTGTAATAAACCACAGTGCACAGTGATGCTGCACAATGACAGGGACATGAATCAAATGTCTGAGAGATGAACAAAAACAATGTAAATTTAAATAAGAGAATATGATTATTGAAGGTGGAATTAGGTTTGGACACATGATAAGACTCCATCCATCTGTGAAAAATGCCAGAAGATTTTTTAATGAGATTTTCAGTTATAAACATTGAGACACCATCAGTCCTGGGGTGATAAGATTAGAGTTTGATTGTGTGTAGCTACGAGAATAGAAGTGTATATAGAGAACTGACCTACTGTAGAAAAGCAATTAGGGTCTACAGAGGGACTAATCGGCAAATAAAACAGCTATACAAACTATCCCATGGCAAAAAAAATTAGATACACCCGGTTATAATTTAACAAACACTTGTAGATAAAATTGTGGTTATGGGTGACTTGAGGCATAAAGTGGTATAAAAGAAGAAATTAAAGTTCTAATAAATTAGCGTTGCTTGAACCAATATGCTGTTAGGCATAATGCATTGCAAAGGATAGGACAATTAAGGAATGGGAAGGGAATTACTTCTGGGATCTAACGTCCAGGTGCCATGATCTGAAAATCAAAACCAACTTTGACGTTTGACTTTGGGAAAGTGGGTTAGGAGAATTGACTTAGGAATGGACAAATTGTACATAAGAAAAGAGTTACGAGCGTAAATTTTAGAGCTATACTAACATGCACCTGCTAAGTCCTCTGTCCTGGTTTCGGCTGGGATGGAGTTGATTTTCTTCCTATTAACTGGTATAGTGCTGTGTTTTGGATGTAGTATGAGAATAGTGTTGATAACACACTGATGTTGTAGTTGTTGCTAAATAATGTTTACACTAGTCAAGGACTTTTCATCTTCCCGTGCCCTGCCAGGTGCGTGGGGGGTTGGGAGGGAGTGTGGCCGGGATGGCTGGCCCAGCTGGCCAATGGCTATTCCATACTATATGATGTCATGCTCAGCATATAAGGCTGGGCGAAGAAGAAGGAGAGGGGGACGTTTGGAGTGATGGCGCTTGTCTTCCCAAGTAACCGTTACGCGTGATGGAGCCCTCCGGGTGTGGGTGAACCCCCTGCCTGCCGATGGGAAGGAGTGAATGAATTCCTTGGTTTGCTTTGCTTGCGCACGCAGCTTTTGCTTTCTCTATTAAACTGTCTTTATCTCAACCCACGAGTTTTCTCACTTTTACCCTTCTGATTCTCTCCCCCATCCCACCCGGGGGGGGCGTGAGCGAGCAGCTGAGTGGGGCTCAATGGCCGGCTGGGGTTAAACCATGACATCCTCTTATGCCTCATAAAAGGTAGTTTATGAGGAATGAGGAGCCTTCATCTCCACTGGGACTGGCAGCTTCGGTCCAGCAGGCAGGTTTGTACAGGTGGGCACTGCTGTCGTTTCCATGATGGCAGTGGGCCTTACCCAACCATTCGTCAGCTGTGCTGCCCCTGCCTCTCCTGTACATCTGCCTTTTGCTGTGTAATTTTATTTTACGTCCTGCCAAAAGGTGAGGAAATTGGACTGGGCCCTGCACTGTGGCTATGTGGCTGCTGGCTCAGGGCTGGTACGTTTGATTGGTGAAATAATAATAGGATTTGCTTGTCTCTGCCTGCCAAAGACCCTTTTTACAGACTGTGACCCTAATATTTGAGCCTCAGAGTCATGCACGCCTGGCACTGGTTGTCTGTAGCTGACCCATCTGTTATTTCCATCTGCTCTTCTTTTTCTTTCAATTTACAAGTTATGTTCTGAAATTTAATTCAGATGCCACTGCACCATTTTTGTCTTTCCTTTATGCAGCCTATTTAGTGTGGAAAACTGAAGGTTTAGTACTAAGTATTTGTTAGTTTCTTGGCTAATTAATTTCCCCTAAATGAAAGAAAGAGAATTTTCTTAACTTAAAATACTTGTCTCTCTTTTCTGGACTTCATCCTCAATGTATTCACTTTATAGATTTCTTTTTTTCACTAATGAATTCCATTGCCATTTATTTTCCATCAAAGTGCCCCGTGGCTGGTTATCACAGAAGCAAACAGAGTGCAATGAAGTACATTTCTAAGGAATTTGGATTTAGTGATTATATGGACAACAGCCTTCACAACTGTCTTTTGAGAGCAGTCCCTATTCTGACTACAAAGCCAAGTTTTGCTCAGGCGCATTGCTGCAGTTCCATCTCATGTTTTAAACAGGTACTCACAACAACGCTCTCTTGAAGAGGAAAGATTTGATACTTTCTCTTCAGTGTAACAATCATCAAATACGTGGTAATAAGTACAATATTTTTCCCAGAAGTAGTAAAGTAGCTGAAGCAAAATATTTGTTCGTGAGCACTCAACCTAGTAACATACTGACGGTATGTGCATTGTTTATATGTGCAACGTAAAGAAAGGATTTCACAAACTTTAATGTGCAGACTGCTCAGTATTAAAAAGAAACAAATAGGTAAGTATTGCATAAAACAGGAAATGTGCAATCTAAAGCTTCTGGTCTGGATGCAAATTTCTTGAAGGTCTCCCTACCTGTGCTCGTATGTTCCATAGATGAGTTCAGTACCCAACTGAATGCTGAATCAGGCTCAATGGGTTGCTCTTGCAGCATTTGCTCCCATCAGCAACTTCTGCTCTGCATTGGGAGATTTGGCCATGGTCGGGTAAGTCCTGATGACCTCAGTGGAAATTTGCAGGGAGCTCATCAATACAAACCTTACTACTGGAGCAGAGACTTAGTGGAGCAACTTGTCAAAAATGGACATGACTCCCTGGTAAAACTCACTCCCCTAAGAGCAAGAGGGGCGTGTATGACTTATGTAGGGTGTGCGGCTTGGGCTTCCCATGGCAGCGAGGTGAATTTCAACCTGCGAGCAATGGTCGCAGATTTGTCCTCTTAAATCGCTGCTGTTTGGCTAAAAGTTAGGTATGTAGTGGGAGTGTCTTCCAGCAGGGAGAGAGAATTGGGCAGGCAGAGGGTGAATCCCACCATCCCACCAAGGTGTCTGCTTGTTGGAGTTGCCTACCAACAAATGTAACCATGATTAAAACATTGTGCTTGTTGCAAGATGCTAAATAAAACCAGCCATTTAATAAAACCAATCCATTTTAGTATAATAAAATACATCAGGTATGGGATATTTTATGAAAATGTTTAATTCAACTGTTTCTTTGGAATGTAGTAGTCATAGTTTGGAAATTTAAGTTACAGTTCAGTTCTATGTGATTTTTTTTATATGCTACTCAGTGTCTGAGAATACAAATGTCATTTAAAGTTAAGGCTTCGCTGTTCATTTTGAAACAACAATTTACAAGTGTCATATTGTCATAGAAAATAAAAATTTCTGTAAAAAAAATTTGCACAAAGTTTTATGATGGTACAAAACATGAAGCAATAATATACCAGTAAAATGAAATCATTTTACTACAGAAGATTTTTATAGTTTTTCAATAAAGAAAAAAATATGTTATTTTACACTTTAAAAATTATGAAACAATCTAAAACAATATAAACTGAACATTTTGTAACACTGCCTTTACAAATTAATAACTTTATAAACATATAATTTTTTTAAATATATTTATCAGTGCAAGATACTTTTCAATGTAAAGTTGCAGTATCATTTTTCCTTTATTGAAGGGCAACTTTCATTCTATTACTTTCAGAGAAATCAAACCTTCAGTGCTAGATCCTCATTATCATAGTAAGGTCTGAAGTCCACAAAGGAGATATATTTCTTTTTACGTTCACTATTCTCAGTATGTTAAAAGAAGAAAAAAGCCACAAACTATCAGCTTTACTGTTCAAATAGATCAAGACCAAGAGCTGGTCCAGAATCTATTGAAAAACCATGGGAATATTTCAAAGGGTTTTGGGCTTGGGCTCCCCAATGGGATTTTCTCTTCAAGGCAATATATGCATGTAACTCTCAGTCAGGTTAGTGGACTAGAAGTTTTTTCAGCTAGGGAGAACAGACCCTAACACCTGAATCACAAGGTGGTAGTGTGCTGAAAATAGTTTTGAAAAATCCATTTTTTCTTTGGGTTAATTAATGAGCTGCTGCGATACTATGATGGTCAAATTACACTGCTGGATACAAATGAAAATTCTGCCTCTGCCAAAATGGGTTTGTCACTTGGGACATTTCCTGGACTAACTTTTATGCCTAACTTTCAGGCCTTAGGTGCTCTATCTTACCTTCTGAAAGACCCAGGGTCTAGAGCCTGAGGAGCTAACTCTTCCAATTTAGGCATCTAAATGGGAGTTTGAATATTCACTATAGTCTCTGCCTTTAGGACTCCTTTGAAGTAGCAGCTGTCCACTGTTTTTTCTATTGGGTCTTCCTTTAAAATATTTTCAATTTCCAAACTCATATTTTTACCTCCAGTCTCCCTCCCTTTTCTTCAATTTCTGGGTTACTGGTGGATTTTCTACAGGTTTTTGTGTTTTATGCTTTGTATTGATGAAATGATGTGCTTCAAAACATTTAATTGATAAATAGGGATGGATTCTGTTGCTGTAGTAATTCAAGGCTGAATTAGCCCTTCTTCAGTCCTAATCCTGGACAGGATACTTCATTGCTCTACTACAAAAGCAATTTTGGAAAAGACTAACTCAGAAAGTCACAATCACTTCCCTGACTCTGCTCAGGGAATTCAGTGAGGAAAAATATGAATTCAGCACTTTGCAGGATGTTCCTCTCCCCATGTTGGCACTGGTTTTACCTGCTGGCTGGTAGATACCCAGGGGAAGGTTGAAGCTGCCCTCTTCCGCTGCCTCCCCAGTTATGGCTGTGCTGTGTGCGGGTCACCGCAGAAAACCCAGGGGCTCCCCTTGCACCTGCAGGAGGGGAATGATCCCTCTGTTCCCTCGCCTCCTTCTACGCACCCCTGAGGGCAACAAAATCTTGTTTCTTTTTACCCTGTTGAACCAGCTGCATAGGCTGTTGAATATTATTTGTCCAATAATATTTGTCCTAAAATATTAAAAAATTGCCACATAGTTGTCGAACACATTTTTCCAACAGCTTACGCTACTCAGCTCACTGAACCTGTCACTATCTGCACTTCTGGTCAAACAGAAACCTCCCGGTATGAAATGCCAATTGGATATAACAGGATGGTAAGAACATACCTTACATACACTGTGGGATTTTATTCTGCCCTCAGTACCCATGCGTAAGCCCAATTAGCATTGATTAGCATGAAAATACACGTTTACCAAGAGAACAGAACTCTGGGTTCAGGTAGGGGCAGGAGGAGGAAAGTTTCTCATTTTAAAGGCAATCTTTTCAGTAAGCAAATTATTTTCCCTAGTGTAATTAACAGGCAAGCTGTTCAGAAAAAAAGACATGTTTCTTGACTTCAGGAAAAAAGATACTGTCACTTTATGCTGTTAAGAAGAAACCCAAAGTTCGACTTTGGAGGGTAAAGTTAAGAATTTTCCCTTATTTTTTAACACAAACTCTAATAAAATCCTTTGCCATTACCACCAAGTTAAAGCTGCAGTTTTCTTTCCTTGGCAATGGCAAATGCTTATGCAATCTACTCAGAGAGAGAAAGAGAGAGGGGAAGAGAAGAGAAAAGGGAGAGAGATTTTACATTTGAAAATACATTCTATATGAAAGAGCAATAAAAGGGGATATTGCAGCTTTATACAAAAGGGTCAAGAGACATGAAGTTGAAATACAGAAAGCAGAACAATCGAGCCAGGTTGTCAAATCTGATTAGCCCTTGCCTTGCTGAGGCTACTTTCTTACCCTAAAATATACTTTTCTTTTAGTCAGTGAGCCATCAGAATATGATTAAAGACAAGGGCATAATTGCAGAGAAGCAGAGCTGTAGTTAACACAATGAGAAGCAGTACAAACAAAAAGGCACTTGAGAGGACATACACTAGCCAGTGCCAAGGACTTTTTTGTTTAGTTTTTAGGCAGTACACTCGGTTACCAGTTGTGTCTGATGATGGCACATACTCTTTTATGGAGTTCACAAGCACAAAATTTAGTACAACACTGAAAAACATCAATAAAATTTGACTGTATTGCTTTGTAAACAGAGCTGACACACTATATCAGTACTGATGCAGCAGTACTTTCAAAAACATCCTAACCCTTCTTTGCCTATGCACAACACGAGCAATTATACACAAATACAGGTGCAGGAGTCCACTAAATTGCTGTTACGCCAATATTTTCTGGGCACTGAGCTACAGACAGCATGTCCATCCAAAGGACCCCACTGAATACATTTTGTGACAGCATCTCGGATTTTACACAGTAAAAACAAAATTATCCATTAACGGAAAACAAAAGAGAGGGAGAGAAAGAAAGACAAAATGAACTATAAGTCAATCATACTTGGTCTCAACACCAGCATTTGATTATTTCAAATAAAACCAACAGAAAAAGCAGACTGTACATGATTCAGATTGTTAACACAGATTGTTGTCCATGTTTATCAGTTACACACTCATTGAAGCTCCTGAGAAAAGCTTGGCTCAGTGTCATCAATGCACTTTTCAGCCTGTACAGTAAAAGAAGATCAACAGTTCCCCAGCACAACCGAGCTATGTCCTTCCATCCCGATTCTCTGAAACTTCTCCAGTCGCTTTATGCCTTCATGCTTCCGAGTATGAATTCTGTGTGTTTAGTTTATCTTTTTTCAGTTTTACACCATCGACCAGTTCAAAATTGTAGTTCTCCAGTGCAGACAAGTTCCTCTCTGACATCCCATTGTGCCAACAGGCACAGTACAGGACAACTCCACAGATGGCTCCTAAAAGCACCCCGAGTGCACTCATGGCTATGATGGTAATAAGGATTGGATCTAGGGTCTTCAGGACGTTGCCTGGTTTCCTGGAGATATCATCGTAGTCCTCGCCTGTATGGTATGGAGGTGTAAACCCTGAAATGGAGTAAAGAATTGCAAAATTTTCAGAACTGATTCTAGGTAGAACTTTGGTTGATGAGTTGGAAATTTGGAGAAAGGACATCAAGTTTCTGACATAAATTGCTACATAATTTGAAAACCTAGCTTCTTGGAGGTAGTCATAAATCGCTGAAAACTATAATGCAGCCCAAATAGTTGTTCATTTTTTTCATACTGTTCTCCAGTCCCTCAATCTGCTGCATGTTAGTAGGGGTCTGATTCTGCCTTGGATTAAGCGGGAGTCTTGGGAATGAATAACCAGACCTTTTGATTACATTTTGCAAGCTTGCAGTATTTAGCTCAAAAATGTTAATTAAATCTTGTTCAGCTCAGTGTGAATGTTTGTAGGCTTAGACATTGGTTGGGAATCTCCAGCCGTTTTGCGTCCATCTCCACTTCACTGACTTCAGGATTGGACCTTGAAATGGCAATAGTGACAGCACTGACACAGAAGAGCCCCCTTGTGTAAAACATTCACAGGGTATCATAATGTTTTCCCTCAACCCTTTCAGTTTATGAAAGAGATCCAATAAGCCTGCAAACCCTGCTAATTGTTGCAGGAAAAGCCAAAAAGTCTTTTTGGACAAACCCTGCTTTCACTGAAATCAATGATAGCAATACCATTTGATTGTAACAGAAAAAAATTAAGCTCATTGCCTGAAAAATACAAGTATATTTTATTATTGGGACAATATGACAATTATGATCCATTTAATGATCCATTTACAGCTATCATCATTGAAAATGATAATGCTTTGGTAGACTGGTCATAAAATGACATTTTCAGCCAGGTCTGAGAAACAATTAGCCTGAAGAGTTTTGAGCCTAATTACCTAGACACTGCGTGAGTCATAAATTGTAAGATATAATGACAGATGTTTCTTCAGCTGTGGACAAGCCTTCTAGATAACAAAATATTAAGGGGCTATAGTGTGCATGCATATATATGTATACACATATATGTATACAATATAACAAATTATGTATATAAAGTTTGAAAGTTTTGAGACAGGTCAATACAAAGGACAGGTTAATACAAAATCTGTAAGATTATATGACATAGAAGAATAAAACTATTAAATCCTTCAAATAAATATAAGCCTTCTTAGAATCTGATCCAGATAAATCAAAAAACCTTAATACAATATGCAGTTAGAGAACTAATCTATAGATAAATAAATAGAATACACAAATTCACATGAAAATACACTTTAAAATTCATTCCTTTTTAACAATAACACAATTTTTACCTGTTTGATTACTTTCTGGGTCTTCTTCTTCATCTATTTCATTCTCCACATCAGTTGATTCTAATGAAGCAAAGAGAATTGACATTGATTATTAGGGTTACAAACACTGATTGACTATCATGCTGGCGATAATGGTATAGCAGATTTTCCTGTGTCAGAGCATCATTATGTCAGCTTGACAGAACTGTTCATTATGATGGGCTCTGAAAATTAATGGAGAAAAAAGAAAGATTTAAAAACTCCTCTCTGCCCGGTCTTGGCACAGTTTTAGTTATCAGCAGGGGTTTTCCATGTCTGGGAAAGAGAAATCAGTGCGATGAATTAGCATCTCATTCATTGTACTACAATTTTGGAGACCAATTCTATAACACTTCATCAGCGTAGGCATAGCTAATCACAAGAATAGTTTCACTGACTGCAGCAAGACCACTTGTGTTTTGGGCTTCAGAGCTTTTGGCTTTAGCTCCCCCAGGCCAAAATCTTTGCTCAGCATTTGGTTTGAACAACCGAAACATGTGGAGGTAGGAAAGAAGTTACTTTTCTCTCTCATTCGGAGTCAGGTAAGTACCATCACTGTGGTCCCAGCACCCTTCTTGGCACTGAGGACACTGCAGGAGGACCAGGCAGTGCATCCTGCTTCTCTTTCCTGGTAACTGCCAGTCTGGTGGCATATGATGAACTCCAGGAGATGGAATGTGTGATAAAAAGAAATTGTAAAGTTTTCTCATCCTGTAGTGAAATTACCATGTAGCTGAAGTCTGTCATGTTACTCTCAAAAGGCTACTAGCTACAAAAGGTGAGGAACATCCTCTATTATTGCTCTCAGTTGTGTTGCCAACTCGCATGGCATAAGTTTATATTTCTAATGCTGAGGGTTCTCAGTTCTATTCCCTCTCCTACATAAAAGTCATTGCTTCATCTCCACCATGAAGGACAGGGTTCAGTTGCTTGTGTTTATCTGGGGTTGCTGCTGCCAAATTACGTGCAGTATGCAATGCACATATGATCAGCAGTGACTGGAATAACCCAAGACTGGCCAGAAATAAAAGGACTCAAATAGCATCTCAGGAATAGCCTGGCTCAGATGTGGAAAAGGCCATGTTCTAACATTACTTCATGTCCCACGTGTCTGGGAGCTGGCGACTACAGCAAACAAGTCACAGCAAACTCAGAATTACAGAACAGCAGAGGATAGAGCAGGGGCCATTTCATCCTAGGGTGAAGAAATAAAACTGGATTTTGAGCATTAGTTAAAACAGGGAAGAGCATTAGGAAAAGCAGAGAAATTTAAAGAGGACAGCAATATGAAATATAGGGAGAGATGTGAGGATGTGAACATGCTGTGACCCGTGTCAGTAGGATGCCAGTTCTGATCCAAAAGACTTCAGTTGCTGCGGTACTGAGGTGATGCCAGTGGCACTTACTATGAATAAAACTATGGGTCAGATCAGGATATTTTCAGTGCAGAACTTCCTATAGAGTCAATAATTATCTATCCCTTTCTCACAGCTATCAAAACAAAAAACAGCTATCAAAACAAAATAAATAATGTTTTGGATTAAATTTCTATATGTTCTTGCTATTCATACTTACTTCGGCAATCCTCTTGTGCTACGTGATTGTCAATTTTAATATCATCCACAGCAATTCCTCCAGTTCCTTTTCCAATTTCTCCCTCAATAACCACCTGGCAAAATAGGATAATGTTCACATTTTTTCCTGTTAACACACAATTGCAGCATTCAGGATATCTTAATTAGTTGTTAACACACATCTTCACTTGTCATGGTGCCGCATCTACATGTACTTTGATTGTGGCCTGCCAATCTGCGCTGCATGCCTTTATGATCTTATATATGCAAATGTGAATTTATAGAATGTCTTAACTTCATTAAAGAGTTTTACACCAGCAGCAAAACTGTGGCAAGGATGCAATTTTGTGACATGAGAAATTATTTCTAAACTATTTATTTGCCCTTGGATAACAAATTGCTTGTATCACTGTCATCTGAGATACCACGAAATAAGCCATTATTATTACTGTCACAGCAACAGCACCTCATCTGTAGGTATAAGACTGTCTACATAAATCCTTCAGTGACGTTTTCTGCTACGGTGTATAAAACATGACCAGCGAGGAGCGGCCAAGCTCACCTGATAGTGTTTCACAGACTTGTGAAGAAGAACGCGTCCTTCCTTCCAGCAGTTTGCCTGGTGCCCGCTCAAGGTCCACAGCACCTGATCGTATTCATCCGGCTTTTGGTACCGCAGTTTGATCTTCAGGGTGCCGACATGTGCGCCGGACATGTGGTACCAGAACGTCATGCAGTGGGCAGAGTTCTGTGAGTAAATCACGGGGCTCAGCAGTCGGGCGACTTTCCCTTTCTGGCTTTCGTCAGCTTGTGAGTAAATGAAATTGCCATCTCCTACTGTGACAGAAGGACTGCGTTAGGAATAGCCACCAGCTTTCATATTCTTTGCTTACCTAAGAAGCCCCAACCACCCCCGATCATTTTGCCTTCTTTCCATGCTGACAGGTCAAGCCTTACAACCGAGAGAGTCAGAGGGCATTGGTTTGGGAGCTCTAGGAAAGTTGATGTGCTCTAAGGAGAGTTTATTTCTTCTGGCAGTCTCCTTTGCTGTTCATTGGGATGCTTTGTGCTGAGAGTGAACAAGATGTTCACTACGTGGCATGTACAAGGCATTTTCTTTTGCTCAGGGAAGGAGGCAAAAGCATGTTTGGTGTGACAGTGTATGCTCCATTAGTCAGCATGCACCTTTTTTCAGGCTAGACAGAAATCCCTCAGGGCCTACTCTATACTAATTGTGCAAAGAGCTATTTTTAATCTCGGGTTAAAGAGAAGTTTAAAAAGAACACTGGAGGATAAACTAGCTTTGAACAGCCATGGTCAGAGATCAGGAACTGAGATCTTAACAGTGCTCCTAAATAGAGTCTGAGCGTTGTCACAAACGGTGCCAGAGTTATTCCCTTGATTTTGGCAAGAATATATTGGGGTATGTATATTTGTGAGCCACTTCCTGAAAGAGTAAGATTATGGCTGGTATTTTCTGAAGAGCGTAATGGATTTATACACATTGAAGTCTGAATACCTAATACCCTTAACTTGGAAAATTACTTGCTTAATCACACCGGGAGAGAACCACATGGGAGTGTGATTAGTTTGGTAACAGAAAATTGCTAAGTAAGATACTGACTACAAAAAGTGCTTCTGATTTACACCAGTCAGGCACCCATTCCAGTCAGCTTTTGAACAGCTTCTTTGCAGAGAATTATGGTGGAAAAATGTGAAGTTCATTCTGGAGTGCGTAAGATTAGGTTGCATGTGTAATGCACTCACACAAAAGGATGGAGACAGCATTTACTGGCATTGGTATAAAGTTATTTTGAAAGTAGGAAGGAGAAAAGTAATAATAGGAAATACTATTTCTCAAATGCTGAAACAAGTATATATCTCTCTGTTTATACCAATGCTTAAACAAAAGAAAAGTAAAAAGAGGGGAAATAAGATGTTTTGGAAGGGTGATGTTTTATCAACATTGGTCTTTGCTTATACATGATATTCCTGAATTTTATTTGAAATAATGTATAACTGAGACTTGCTGGATTGCAATGGTATAGTCCTGCACCAATGAAGAAGGGAAGATGAGCATTGCCACTCTGGGAAGTATAAGAAGGACAGGGTAGTAAATGGTGAACCAGGAACAAAGAGGAGTGGGTTAAACCCAGTGGTTGGAAGGAGTGGGCGTAATAAATGAGAAAGGGAAATATTTCTTCTAACAGGAGACAAGGATGTTTTCTTTTACTTGGATTTTTCTGTGGGCAGTCAGAGGTATCCTGGCCAATATGCATGTGGAAGTATCTGGTCTTTGAAAGAATTTTATAAGGGAAGATGATATTAAATTGCCAAAAAAATTTAAGCTTTTTTTTTCCTTTTTTCTATCTTACTGCAGTAACATCTTGTCCAGCTTCTTCAGCAGCAGTGCTTGTGCCTATATGTTCTTTCCAACTTTGCTTCTGTGCAGAGGGCAGCACAACATGTGCAAATCTCATCAAAGAATGGTGATAGGGAAATCCAAAGGGAGGAAAAAAGAGAAATAATCACAACATTAGGATGGCTGTCTCAGTTGGAAGACCTAACTCTGGCCATATTTAATCATAACACGTATAATTTGAAGTGACATACGGCATATCCTGCTGTCTTAAAGCAATTGCTGTTGAAGATCACTTCTGTGGAGTTTCTTCAGCTTTATACAAGTGCAGCTGAGAGCAAGATTTGCCTGGGAATTGTTCCGTGTTGTTCTCCCAATATATAGGGTGGCCTTGCTGCGTAGTGGTGACTCTGGGGGGCTTGTTTGGGATGGCAGTGCCATTCAGACTGCTTGTGGTCTCTGCTCACGCCCACCCCACTCATTCTGTATCTGCTGGCAGGCGAATGGCAAGTGAAGGTGCCCTTAGAGTTGAAGGAAAATTTTGGAAAATATTGAAAGTTAGTGCAACAAGGAGCTAAAGGGGCTGCCTGTAAGACTTACTGAAGCTACAGCTAACGGAACAAAGAAGTCTTCCGCACTAGCAGGGCCTAGCGGAAAAAACAAATTCTCATTTGAAGAATATCATTTCTTCATCTCTTGATTGAAGACAGGTTCAGTCCCTCTATAATCCTTGGTGGCAAAGTGCAGATATCTCTCATTTCCAGAATATTATTGCAGTGCTGGGTCAGGAACTCTGTCTTCATTGTCTTAATTAGAGCTTTACTTATGCATGCCTTTTAGATTTTGTCAGTCTCTGGCTAACATAGCTTTTAACCTCCCTTCAATGTCAGATCCTACTGAGCCATTTCACTTTACTCTACATCAATTTTTCCACCATTACAGCCTTCACTTCAGCTAACTGCATTTAGTTAATTTGATGCCATTTATTTGTACAATGCCATTTATAGTCAAAGTATTATAAGTTTTTTTTTTTTTTCCTGAAACTACTGTACTTGTCTTAAGATTCAATTGAAAGTGTCTCAGAATGTAAAAAGTCCAATTTTGTCTAATTTCCTTGTCATTCTCATTAGGCAAAGGGGTTGCAGAAGTGGGAAGGGGGATTCATCTCAACACATTTGATTAATCTGCACATATGCAAGAGAGAACACTAAAGCTAGAGGCTGTGCAGGTCACGCAGCGCCCTCCCTTCACCACTAGCCAGCAGCATATTTATTGCCTAATTATGCAGAGCCATAAGTTAGATACTACAAAACCAACCAATCAATTTCCCAGGGTGATATTTCTGGAAAAACTGTGTGTGAGCAAAGGGATGGCTCCAACTCCTGCAGGAGAGGAGGAGGGCATGGAAATACATCCATCTGGGAAGTTTCACTTACAACACCTTTCTGTGGTGGGCAGCCCTCGTAACTACAAGCAAGAACAATGTGAGGTTTGTTTATGACTGTATCACTTGGTAAGTGATATTTGCAGAATATTTGGTCATTCAGATTTTTTTGTACCCTAGATGGTGGTTATCCAAAGGCGAGTCAGGAGAAGGGAATATCTTCAATTCCTGACAATAAATGATCTTTATTCCCCAACCGAAAGGAAAATTATGGTCAGTTGTGACTACATATAACGGGTTAGGTTGCCTAGAGAATCATCTTTGGGACTCTACATATTTTAGGTATAATTCATTCTCCTCTGGTTTTGGAAGGCATGTTGGTATTAAACAGAACAGCCTCTTCCCATGTAAAATGGCTATATCATGAACTCATGATTACCTGTGTGGTCTTGAATTGGCCCAGTTTTGCTGGTCAGGATTGCCCACTTTAAATCCACCTGGTTGTCGTGCTCCCAGTGGCACAAAGTCTTTTGGGATCCCCAGCCAAAGGCACAGTTGAAGTTGTACAGTGGCAGCTCTGCAAGGAAAGAGGGAAAAGGAGGGACAAAATGTGATTATTAATTGCATAATTCAGATTTTGTACTTCAAAACCAAATGCATGCATTTGACCATTAACAGAGCCGTTCCTACTTGAAACTCTGCGAAGCTATAGCGAGAGCAGCCCTGCTGGGAAACGGATGAAGAATGACTATTTCTAGTAAATGATGTGGTTGTTTCTTGTCTCTTTATGACCCATATTTTGGGATTTTTTTGTGGTTAGATTAATTCTTCTGATTTGCCCACATTAGCTGGAACTGTACTGTAACATATATGACTCAAAAAGAAAGCTCTGGCTTACTTATCAGATATATTTGCTGGTTGATAGTTACTATTTGTACCATAACTGTGCAACGTTTTGCAACAACTCACAATAAGATTTGGACAAAAATAAGAAAGGGCAGAAAAACTAACAGAATGTCCTTGGCAGGAAAGGATTTCTGGTGAAATGTATAGTACGTGGCTTCAGTAAGGAACTTATTTCAGCATCTTCAAGACAGTTAAGCAGGCCCACAAGATGGCAGCATTGAAATGGACAAATTGAGACGGAAAAGGGACAAATGTGGCTGATTGCCAAATGAACTCAAAATAAGCTTCAAAACAAGCTCCATGTAAAACAAGGGAAGTCTGGTATTATGGTCAGGGTGAGATCATATCTTGTTTTCAGCTTTTCTTCAATTCTGCCCAAAGGTTTAATACATAGTAGCTTATTTTCTTCAATAGAACTTGGAATGTGAATGGAAAGATTATACAAAGATAGCATATAAATCGCTTGCATTTCTTATTTTCAGAAGCAGTTTGAAATCTTTTGGGCTTTTGGTTCCTACCCCATTGGTATGAAACTTTACCTCACCTTAAGCAATGACAACTCCCAGTAGAGCAATACCCTTCCCACAGCAATGTGACCAAATCCTGAAGTCTTTTCTCAGGCATGACTCACGCCTTATTAAAGGAATAACTTAGATTTACTTTAATGAGATGCTTTGTGCAAGTATGAACTAAGAACAAAGGACTCTGTGCTCCCACCAATATCAGCTCTGGGGGAAGAATTGTGTTCTTTTGCTTTCCTACCCATTATAAAAAAAAAATCCAGGAAAGATAATGCAGCTCCTAGGGTGTGTTTTGTCTATTGTGGGAAAATATGAAGAAATATGGGAAGTGTGTTGGGACCTGTGGCTGGCCAGACCTTTAAGGTGGAGCTCTTCCAGTCTGAAGAGGCAAGGACCTCCTCCACGTAGTGAGCTGCCCAGGGAAGACTGGAAAGGCTTTTGAACTCACAGCCCAGATTTTAATGGAAAGTAAACTAGAATAATCATTTTATCAACACAGAGGAAGCTTCAGGTGAGTAGGTTGGGACAGAATAGATATAAAAAGGGTTGATCTATCATTCTCTCCTTGCCTGCTGTGTCCTTGTTTGGTGGGTCCTTGCTCCCAGACACAGTTTTAACTCAACTCACTGGATTCCTGCATTGCAGCCACTGTGCCCTCTCCCCTCTGGCCCCTAGAAAATTTCTTTCTGTCAGCAGAGACATCTGAGCTTATGGCAGGTCCTGCCCCTCTCCTCCGCCTGTCAGTACCTCGGCTGTGCTGCGGCATCTCTCCGCACTGAGCCCTCATTCTTCCCTCCTTCCTTTCATCTGCCCCATCCCGCCTACCACCCCCCTCCCTCCCGCTGGCCTCCAGAGGGGTCTACTCCACATTGTCACGAATACGGCATCCTAGCTGGGAACAAATGAATTAAACAGATAATGTCTGGCACAGGAATTCAATGTGGAGACAACATGTTTCCTGGAGGACCCTAGCCCTTTCTAGGAAAGGGGCAGGTCATGGTGAATAATCTCTCTTTGGGCTTAAAATCTTGAAGAAGCAGAACTCAGCCTATGTGCACGTGGGTGCAGAAAGGCAATCCATTATGTTTCTTTCTTCAGTATATGGGGTTTTTCTTCTAGACAATGGGGCCATGATCAAAGACATCTTGCCCAAAAGGGGACATCTGAAAATCAAGGGGAGTTTTTAAAGAAACAGAGTGACATTGAAATGAATTAAAGGGTTTTAAGTTCGTGAAAAATAGCCTTTCATTGTCAAGGAGGCCTAGGGAGAGCTATATTGCATGGCTTTGACATCAGAGCCATGAAACAGAACTTTAGAAAAGGTCTTAGAAAACGTAAACCAAAATTAATCTTATTAATCCCGAAGGATTATATAATGCAAAGCTTGTGATAGCCTGTGTGGTATTCAAACCATAAGAAAGGAGAGCAGTGGTAGATAGATCACATCAATCTGAAGATATCACACAGCATAAATGAGCACATAGCACAAAGAGATTGAAAAGACTGGTATTGTTCAACTCTGAATAAAAATAAATAGCAGAAGACACAGGAGAAGTATGTGAATGGGTGAAGAATCCAGAGAAGGAAGATTATAATATTCTGTTTTCTCCATTTCATAGCCTATGAGATATCCAGTGAAGTTCAATGCAGATTAAAGGAAGATATTTCTCATATGATATGAGCGATACTTGCTTCACTCGAATGCTGCTAAGGCTGAACACAATTCAAAGAGAACTGGACACTGAAATGGATAAGGAAAATATCCAGAATTTAATTGTTAATTCTAACAAAAGCCTTTTGCTTCATGGTCTGAAGCCAGCTCTGAACATTGGGATTAGAAGGAGAGTTTCAAAGCAGAGCTAAATTTCACAGCACCATCTAATAAAGAATTTCTTACACTTTCATTTGAAATATATAGTCCAGGAAATTGGCAAAGAGCCTAAGTCTGATATGCTTTGGCCATGCCTGTGTTCCTTGGCTTTGGTCTCACAGACAGCATGGTGTAGCATAAAAATGAACTTCTTTTCCATGCAGAAGTTAATGAGAATCCCCTGAAATTGAGCAGGATTTGACCAGTAACCTGCTCTTAGTTAGCTATTTCTTGCTAGGTTCCTATTGTTTTCTTAAAAGTGATTGTGTTAATATATTCCTTAGACAATCACAGCAACGGGATTGAAGGTCAAAGGCAAGGCATTTTAGAGTGCTCTTATTTTATGGGCTCCTTAAACATGCCATCTCTTACTGTCTATTCTTATGTCTCTTCCAATGCTTCTCCCAGGGACCCATAAAAAGAAAAAATAGACCTGCTAGCCAATTAATAATAGACACTTGTAGCATCAGGATAGGTTCATTAGTTCTACGGACAATGGATCTGCTCCAGCAAAAGACAGAATAGTTCAACATTTCTATTAAAGGTCCCAGGGGGCTGATACAGTAGCTCACAGTAAGCTACAGGCAATCTGTCCACTTCTTTGTCCTTGAACTATAGCTTGGCAGCTCTGGTAAAAGGAAGGAAAGTAGGGACGAGTAGCATTTGGTGGGCTCCCTCTGCAGCGCTGGGCCATTCCCCTGCTAGGATAAGTCTCCTGCCAATGGGTGATTGATCTCCGGGTTTGTGTGTATTGAGAGGATGAAGAAAACCAGCTATTATGTAACTAAATAGCAGCAGTTCAGATGAGAATCTGAGCAGGAGGTGTGACGAAATCCCATATGCCTTTTTCAAAATGTAGGGTATGTGATACTGAATTAAAACAGATTTATCCTCTCAAAAAGCAACCAACAGCTGTACTTCTTGACCACATCTTGCTCACAGCTGGAACCATTACTGCACACGAACAAGAAAGTCATTTGAAAATCTAGTTGAGTGAGTTTCTTGCAAGTCCATTAATCGTTCGTGGCCCACAGACTTTGACATATTTTTATAATTCCTCCAACAAGAGGCAAGAAGGAGCATGATGGCATTAAAGATGCTATGAAAATTCTCTACAGGATGCTTTTGCCAAAGGGTAAATCAACATTAAGATGGGAAATTATAAACATAATTTGGACCACTTCAAAGTAGTATATTGGGTCTGATTCTTATTTGCGTTTCACCTTTTTATACCACTTATGCTGGCAGCACGGAATTACCTTAAATGATAGTAAATGATAATTTAACTGCTTTAATATCCCTTTATTGATGCAAAGTTGTCCCACTGTAAATGAGAATCAGACCTATTCTACCTTTAAATGATTTCTTAGCATAGATTGTAACCTCAGGATTTCTTAGTTATATTTTTCTGAAATAGCTATTATATGTGTGAAAAACAAGATACTTCACTTCTTGAACAGTCTGCTCTACAAAGGACTGAGCTTACACGCTGAGAGCACATAATGTAAATGAACAGCTTGCTTTGTATGTAAATAGCTAAGAGTCAAGCATTTCAAATAGTCCTTTGGAATTGAAAAAGATGTGTTCAAAAAGACTAGATGTTGCTGAGTCTTAGGACTGAGGCCTGAAAGGTATTTACCTTGACAGACAGATTTGTTGAAGGCATCTTTTTAAGTTTGAGGAGGACAGTAAATCCTCTCTTAAAAAAACCCCAACCTTTAAACATTTTTAGCAGTTTGAAATCATGATTCTTTTTTTTTTTTTTTACAATTCAGTCCCCTTGAAATGAACTGTAAAAGTCGTCTTGATGGAAAGCTTGTTTATACATGGAGGCTTTCCAGCTATTTGCTCTTAACTGTTTCCATAGTGTATGAAAGCTGGTTGGAACAGGATAATCTCAGGTTTTGACACACACAAGCATGTTAGTCTGGGATAACAAGATTAAGGGTGTTTGCAGGCTTGAATGCAGGCAGGAGGACAGCAATAGATGGAGTTAGCACCTATTGCAGAAGTACCTGCGCCACGGCAGGTGCTGCTACTGAGAGGGCTGGTAAATCTCTGTCCTGAATCACCGTGACACAAGCTGCTGTGGCCAGCACTGGCACGGTGTAGCTCGTGCAGGGTTACCCGCTGGAGCCTGCACCCTGCAACTCATCTGGAATAGCTCTTTGGCTTGGAGTTCACCATTTACTTCAAGGTGTATTAGCACCTTAAGGTAAACCAGCCCTTAGAGGGAATTAAGGCTGAAGCTGAAGGCTTGGTCCTTGGTGTGTTAAATTCATACCTTGTTCAGCTTGAGAATAGCTGAAAGAGTTGGAGTGCACTGACCCCTGATCCCCAGCCAGCTGAGGGCCAGGGAGGCCCCTGAGCAGCTCTGTAACTTCAAGGCCTGTTTAGACTATGTCATTCCTGGGTGCCGTAGCAGACTCTTGCTCCCTACTGCATGGCCTCTTGCTCTGATGTGCTTCTTCGTGCCAGCTAGGTCCACCCATGCCCCTTCAGCAGAAGGAAATGCTTACACCGCCTTCATGCCAGGAGGGGTTTCCCCATGTTGAGGGGAATTTCTGTCTGCCCCTTTTTGGGAGTTTTCTGGCTGGTTTTCAGTGAGGGATTATGAAGCAGCTGGAAACCTTTATGTCTTAAACTGGAGATTCTGGAAACCTTATTTATTAGCATCTGACTGATCTCTATCTATGATCTTTGTAATGTGCTGCCATGTGGGAGCCTGGAGTTTGGGATGTGAACTTGTCCCTTATTCCCCGGAAGGAAACAGTTCCTACCAGCACAAAGCAGGGAAGTAACATTGGCATGCTCTGAAGGGAACCTCAGAAACTCCTTTAGTAGAGAAAAAACTTGGCTCATCACGGAGTAAGCGAAGGTGGTGCAGGAGGGAAGTAAAGAGAGAAAATGAGGATATCTTTATCTCTGGCAGAAACAGTCAGTCTATTACTGGAGAGTCCCACCCAAGCCAAAGGGATTAAACACAACCTGCCAATGCAACTGGCACTGGGGAGGAGGGAGGAAAATTGCATTGCACAGGGGCACTTCATGAATTTGCAATTTGTTTAAATGCAAGAAGATAGTTTAAAAAACGAAAAATATCCTCCATTTCAGCAAAATAGAAAGCTAAAAGATCATTTCAGACATAAAATTTAAAATGTTTTACTCTAAAACCACTGCGCAGCATCCTTTCTTCCTTTGCATCCCCCACCCCTTTCCGAACTGTGGGATCATCAGCAGCCCTCCAGCCCTTCAGCAAGGCTGGCTGTGGAAGAGCGGTGTGGAGAGGTGTCCCGTGAAGGTGGGCCAGCCTGCCGTCGTGTTTCTCATTGCACCGGTACTCCACAATCTCCCTCTGCTCGTAAAGCAGGGCAGTGCTAGAAATAGCGTATGCTGACTAAGCCAACTGGATGACCCTGGAGACAAATTTTGAGGGGAGTAAAAGCACTCGCCTCTGCAATATCAGAAGGCAGAGGCCGAGAGTGGGAACAACGTCTGAGATAAGTCAGCTCTCTCTCTTAATCAGGTCGACACCATCAGTGTCCCTTAGGAAACTTTTGCATTATTAGTTCCTTTTTTTTACTTGAAGCAAAAGCGGATTGTGTCACATGGTTGAGGAAACAATGATAAACACCTACCCACCCTGTTAATAAATCACTTGCAAGACTGTGCCTGACTGTACTTTAATGGAGGAAATGGGAGTAACTGAAAACTGACCTCTTTACCGCTCCACAATTACTAATGCAAAGCATTTTAAACTGATGCTCATAGTTTTTGGTGTTTGGGTTTTCTGCCCAAATCTATCCTCTCCCTCACTCCCAGTAAATTGTACAGGATATTAAAAAATGGTATGAAAGCTGTGGAAGCAGCAAACTAAGGATTTTAAAAGCTGCTAGTTATTGTACTGATTAAGTAAAAAGGACCTGCTTCCAGTGACAACTTGTTTTTCCCTTTTCAACTTCATGGTAGCAGTTTATGTAACCCCATTTTGAGAAAACTTGCTAGAAAACAATATTGTAAAACTGCCAGCTCCCTGGTGGAGAAAACTGGCAAACTTGACTTAGTTTTGTAAAACCAGGATATAAATAGTGAGTGGGCCTGTGTGGCTCTGTTTTTGTTTTCCCGGAGTTTGCAAACACACTTTGTGTCACTGACATGCCACATTTAAACAGAGTGCACTGTGTGATTAAGTTAGTTTAATTTTGTCAGCATTTGGCATTTGCTGATGCAGAAGGAAATCTTGTTCTCTGCTGTGTCTACATGTGGATGAAAGGAATAAAATATTTACTGTACAGAGCTGAGAGACCAGATGCTTCTTTACTTCAGAGACTTTTAGGGAATGGGAAGTCAGGAAGTGCTGCAATTCATTATTTTGTCTCTGGTATGAAATTTGGGTATGGAATTTATTATGTTTTCAATAAGAAAAATATTTTTTTTTACCTGGTTGTAATGTATTGTCTATTACTGTTGGCTTTTCTGTATTCAGCACTGTAGTACCACCTGGAAAAGAAATTATGCATATCATGATACATGGGACACAACAAAGGACACAGCAGTCATTAGGAATATCCTATACATAAATCTGAAGTATTACCATCTTTATTAGACATGTAGGTAACTGAGTATGTGAGCTTAAGCATGAAAATATGACATCAAAGATCTGGCTTCCTTTATCAAAAAAGAAAATAAGAACTCATCTTTATATAAAGCTGTATATCTTCGGACTCCTTGCAACACCAATTAATCAATCCTCACCATGTCCCTGTGGCCATCCTTGTTTTAGAGACAGCGATTTGCTCCAAATCACATGCGAAGTCAGCGACTGATCTCTGTGGCGTCTCCTAACAGTCACCAGTTTGTACATTCACCCATGGCATGTTGTTTCACATATCAGGGACATGAAGTCCTCCAGGATATTAAAAAAAGGCATGAAAGCTGTGGAAGCAGCAAACTAAGGATTTTAAAAGCTGCTAGTTATTGCCATGCTGCGTCCTCCCTGTGCGTTGCTGCATAGCTGCATTGTGAGATCAGCTCACAAGAGAGGTGCCCAACTTTAGGCTATAGTCTAAGGCAGGTTTGCCTTCTGTCTCAAAGAGCAGGAGGAACTGAGGACTTCCGCTTTGTCTTCTTCAAGCAGATGAACAAGAGGTGAGTGGGGTCATGGCCCTCTCCTAAGCTCACTAATTGATATTTTCAAAATACTTGACTTTTTAAAGCAAGCCTCATATTGATAAAGGAAACAAAAAGTAAATTAGCACAATTATAAATGCACAGTGGGGTGCTGATTACCAGTCAATGGCTTTTCTTTTCTCCAGCAAGCAAGTGCTTAAAGCAGTATAGAAAGGATGACTATGATGACTTCCAATGAGAACGAATGCCCAAGTTGTATCGGCTTTATGTTTGTGAGAATGATCTGATGCGAAATGCTATAAGCCACACAAATAGAGTAGCTCTGTATGGGGTCCAAATAGAGCAGGAAGGAATCTGGCCTACAGCACAATTACGGTTAATTGCAAGGGAGGCTTCATTGTGATACTCACATATGTGCAAGTGCTATCAGGGAAGTGACTCTAACTGTCGTACCCATGAGAATGCGGGTGCCACATTCACGTCGGGAGTGGATAAAAGAGGGTAAGGCACTGATGACATCCCCTCTGCACTGCCCTGCTATCCTTAATGTGCCACGAGATTTATATATTTCCCTTCTATGCATTTTGGAGGAAGAAAAGAACGTTTACAATGAAATTATCGGTAAAATCACTCCTGTGCATTTTAGTGTTATACGTAACATCATACGTACAATGCAGTGTTTCTACAGTGTCCAGAACAATTGGGCATGCACTGCTCAGGGCTTCTAGGTGGTATAGTAATAAATTATACTAAAGTGTCTGCACTTTTGTAGAAGGGCAATGTAGTAATTTTCAATTTTAGTACTGAAATAGGTTCAGTTCCCCAAAAGACTTGATGCTCAGGAAGGCTGGTGGCTGTTCCCTTGTCTTAGAGATTGTAAACTGCTCCCTAAGCACAACCTGCAAAAATTGCCAGAGGGAGTTTCTTCTGCTCAATAAGCTTTCCCTAAGGGACATGCGGATGTAGCCCTGAGCTCCCTGAAGTGCAGAGACTATGAGTGAACAGGGAAGGTGCTTGCATAGATCTGTCTCCATCCCCTCACACAGCCTCCATCTATGTGAAATATGTCTCTACCTATTGGGCTTTGCAAGCCAGCCCTCAATGTAGGGCTTTGCAGGAAGCCCAGCATTTCCTGACCTGGCTCTTTCCTTTCAGAAAAATAAATAAATTACAATATTTAGTAACATTGAAAGCTTTCTGAGCTACCTTAGCACAATACAGACTATTTTATCAGACTCCCTGCATGGCTGTTTTCAAAAAGAATAAGATTCATCTGGGACATTGATTTGAAAAGCAGTGACAGTGACCATGCAGTGTCTTTTCCACTCAATAATTGTTTTTCAATTTATGATTTGCAACATGCATTTACAGGAGACATTGGCAAAGCTCAGAAAGGGTTTGATGCTGAAACTGCACTTTCATTTCTATCTGCTGTCGGATGTTCTACTTGGCTGCTTCCAAAAAGCCAATCTCTTACCTAAGGTTTCCCAATGTCCTCTTGGACAGCTATTGCCAGATTTTTAATGCTATTTTATATCATGGATATGAGAAGCAATAAACATTTATTAGATAAGCACACCAGGGAGCAGTGATGAAATAACTTGGGTCGCTGTGTCCAAAAATAAGCTCAATTACTGTAGATGTATAGATCTGCTAAAGGAATATCATTAAACAGGCCCAGAGCTTTGTGGAGCAAGTGACCTCCAAGAAGAGATCAAAAACGTAGTGGTGCAGTGTCAGCAGAAGGACAATGGTTCTGTGCAAAGTGGGAGAATATGAAAACTAGCAAGCTTCCTCCGTTCCAGATGCAGACTATGTTATGTCTCTCCCTTCTATTTTTCTGCTAGTGATGGCACCTTGGAGAACATCAGCCCCTCTGTGGCTGTAATGCAGTGTTGGTGGGGAAGCTGATGGAAATATTTCTGGCAGTACATGTGTGAGTATGCTTTGACGAAACAAATCTGCTTTGTTTCTGTCTGGGAAAGGTTTGGGGCTGAGATTTGAGTCCTATACTAAGTTTTAGGTATGGAATCGTATATGTATCTTGAACATAAGCAATATTTCATTTTGAGTTCTTCAATCTTGGACAATAAACCTCAAAAGGTTTGTCCAGCTTTTTTCTTAGTAAGAGAAAGTTTGATTAGGATATTTGATTAGACACAATTCCTGCTCAAAAAAATTGCCCTCTCTTCCAGCTAGTCACTATTATTTGCTTCAAAAATTACATAGCTGAGAAAACAATCAAAAGTATTGTTATATGTAAAAGGCAGATGCCTATGTTTTGACAGCACTGACAATACGAACTGCATACCAATGTCCATTTATGTTGAGTGATTAAATCAGTGCAAACGTTTAGCTGGTAACTGGTGATGGATATGAGCTACAATGAAGCTGCAATGGAATGAGGATGGTTTCTGCACCTGTCAGTTGGTAGTCATCACCTGTGCCACTGTGACAGTTTGCCTGGTCATCATCACACTCATCCACAGGTTTGCCTTCGGAAACAGTAGGGACAGCCGTAGGAGCTGAAACAAAATCCAGTCGTTCAGTTAAAACGTGCTGGAGAATCAGCATGCAATTGGCAGAAACATTTTGATGAGCACCATATGCTGCCTTCATGTGTTGTATCTGAGGAAAGGAGCAACTCCACTTTGCAGGTTAGTTAGTATTTCTTTGCAATGGGACATATCTGTTCTGCTGTTCTTGCGCCAAGGCACTCTGCGGTAGCTGAGCTCAAGGGCTGAGCAGAGTTGGGCAGCAAAGCCTCGGACTGTGTATTCACTGGGTGATAAGTGTTGGTTGTTCCTATGAACAAAGAGTGAAAGCCTGGCAAGGCAGAACGGGAGGCTTGGGGAGGGATAGAAAACCCATCATTCTATTGCAGGCCAAAGTGCCTGTGAGTGGGACTGTACAGAGGAGCAGGAGGGGTGCATGCTCAAGGTGGTAGTTCTCCAGCATTCACCACATCATTGCTGAAGAAACCTCTCTGCAGAGCACATGTAAGAGAGGAAATGTCTGAGCAGAGTCCTGGTAACAGTGGCAGGAAGGCAGTGTGATGTAGAATCACTTCGTGCTCAATAAGGAGATCTGGAGGGAGTTTCTTTTGTTTTTGTTGAAGTTATAAATAAGACATCAGTGATGTCAGTCACCCCTCCTGGCCACCTGCTTGCTTCTCATTGGTGATGACTTTCCGGTAGCTGCTGCATAACCAGTAAAAGTCTGACCTTTGTTATTACAGTTAAAAGCTTGAGATTTGTGCAAGATGCCAGAAAATATATCTATACCCCAGTATCTGCAAAACATACCACATCTGGAAAATCAGAATGCAGATACTTGGTGTTATGTTTACATTTATGTTTTATGCTGCAAGTATAGTTTCCTGGCTTAAGATAACCAGATGGGAGTGTGATCCAGGCTTTTGTCTGTTCTCACCTACTGTTATTTTCATTAACAATGTTTTACTCCCATTATAAGCTATGCAATAGTGCATCCATTTCTCGGATTCTTCTTTGCCCTTCTACTGCCTCCAGAGTCTGCTGGCCACATAAGATCTTATGCACTGACTTCTTGGCCTGAAAATGTCAGGAGGGATGGTAGTTTCTGAAGTTGCTATATTCTGGGATGAAACATGCCTTTTTAGGACCCTGACCTATGCTTTACAGGTAAAATCTAGCCCTAGTTAAAGAAACAGTTCTGTATCTATTGTGAATTATGCAGAGCGTCTGTTCCCCACATCTCTTTAAAAACCCCTCTGGGAGCTCCCTCTAGCTTTCTACATCGAGTTAAGTTTCTTATCTTGATCTTCATGCCCCTGTAGAGCCTCAAGCTTGCCTACATCTCTGCCATCATTTCATATAAGGCCCCCTGGGATGCTTTGAGCACACCAAGCTTCCCCTTGCTCATTACTGCTGGAGAGCTGATTTCTAGTCCTCTCTGTGCCTACCTCCATGCTTCTTTTCTCATCTCAGCTCCTTGCCTTCTCAGTAAATCTCAAGTGACTTCTCTTCATTCAACTCCCTCCTTAAGATACAGTTATACAGCAAAGTTTTCTTATAATTCTTCTCCCACGGGTAAATGGGAATTGACCTCACCTATCCATGGTGACCGAAAGGTGAGCACCCTTCAAAAGTACACCATAGCAGAAAGACAAATGCAAGTATATGTGTCCCAGGGAAAAATTGTACTTGCTGCTGCGGTTTGCCTAAAAGCAAAGGTGTTTTGCCTGCTCAGTCTCCTCTTTGACTCCTCCATCTCACTGAGCAACGTGTTCTTGTAAGGTGGTCCACGGACTCACTTCTTGATGTCTAGGTCGCTACAGGAGCCCTGTGGCCGAAGGACTTTGCCCACAGGTTGTGAGTTTACATGAGGCAGGTGCTGGTTTTTTTTTTTTTTTCTGAGCAAATAGCACAATAGTCTGCAGGAACTAAGTATTCCCACAGGAAATGAGGACTTCCTGCAAGAACTAAGAAGTATTCCAACCTCCCCACTTTCCGGGCCAAGTAAAAAACACACTTATTCAATCTGGCCTTCACCAAAAAACAACACAGAACTCATCAGTTCTCACAGCAAATGCCTCCCACTCTTCCGCCTTGGGGGAGAAATGGTGAGAAAGAAATGGAGGCAGAGCAGTCGGTTCCATTCATCTTGGGAGCCTGTTCAGCTACTTCCATATGAGGTATCATATGAAACCCTGAATAACATGGTTTGTTATTCTGTGTATTGTTAAGCTGTGTGGTTTATAAGTCATGCTACTATACCATCATCCATCAGATAAAATTGTGAAATTCACGTAGTGTTATCTGTAGTTATCTATGAAGTTAAATAATTATTGTTTATATAACAAGAATCAAAGCTTGACTTCATGTCACAGTCCAAGGATAAATGTCTAAACTTTGCTTTTCCTGGTCTTTCATCTCCTACATATTCTTGCAAAATTAAAGCTTGGTATGGAACAAAGAGGCCCCCTGTGCCCCCCAAAAGCAACAGCACAGAGCCTGTCCAGCCAAGTAATCATTGCCCACCATAGTGTCTGGTGTGACCTTCACGTCCTTTGAAGGAGCAAGGGACATAATTGTTATATTTAGTGCTAAGCTCCCTCTGCATTCTCAGAAAACATCTCTTCCAGGGTTGTATCATGGTAACATAAAATATAAGTTCCTGTCTTCATTCTCTCCTAATAGCTCTATGCTTCTCGAAAGTATAATCATAAGGCTGCTTAAGGGAACAGAAAAACGTGGAGAATATCACTGTGATTCAACAAAGGAATGGGAGAAAGAATAATATTTGTGCCTTGGGCATATTCAAATATCTGCAGAGAAGGAACTGATTAGGCCAAGAAACAGCACTAATGGCAGTCATGGAAGCGAGAGTCCGACGTGCTGCCTGTACAGACACAGCAGTGTTCAGCTGTAGTCCAAGTAGAGAATGTATTTATGAAAATAATAAAATGCATTCATCTCTAGCAGAGCAATTACCTTCAAGTTCACAGCCCAGTAGCTCCATTCGCAGCCCCAGTCCTCCGTGTGTGGCTCTCTCAGGGTAGACGCGGATGAATCTTGTCGATACAGGTTCAAAAGTCCGCAGTTCAGGTGTGTCATAGTTGGTGTTGCCTTCAAAAGTCTGCAAAGCATGACAAATGCTACTTGTTAAAAAAAAAAAGCTATTTTCAACACTCATCTTTTCCCCTTCATTCTCTAGTCTTTGAATTAGGTGAGCAGTAGGCAAGATTCTAACCGTTTAATAAGTGTCAGGCATTCCCGTCCTAAATGAGAATGGAAAATACATAGTTAAAGCTTCTCGGAAAAGTAATGCATTTCATTTTTCATAAACTCAGTAGCAACCAATCCATCAGGGTCATAACAAGAGCTGAGTGTTTAATGAGACATGTTTTTAAATGACGCTCTGATCTGGGGTTTAACTGGGTGACATTTTCAACACTTCTCAGAGAAAAAAAATGGCTGAGGTGAAGATCCTGTCACCTTTTAAGTGGTTACAATAATAATCCAACTATTCAAGAGAAAATTTCAATCTGATTTCCCCCAGTGACAGAGTTTCACAAGTTGTAGTTATTTCAAAAGGCATAAATTAAACTCCAGGAACAGTAGCTGCAAGAGTTCTTCCAGTGAGTCTGCTATTGAATAAGAATAAAAAGAAAGAAAGAAAGAAGAAAGCTGCTTCCTGACAAAACTGCAATATAATCTAACGGGCAAGGCAGGTCAGCAACTGTACATTTCAGACAAAAATGTCTTTTCTGAGTTGCACTCTGGGTTCTTCAGCCATAATGCAGCTCTCAATGGCATTTGTTTGATACCTTCAGCTTCTCTTGTCAGTGATCTTTTGCATATAGAACAAGCTATAATTTATAGTTAGAGCAACACCTCGGGTGCCTCTATGGAGATGATTGGTCCTTAAAATGAATTAGCTGTACAAAGAAGCAGTCCTTGCCATGAAGAGTTTATAACCCAAGATAGGCAAAAGGAGTTATTTTTACCCTATTTTATGGTAAAACATGACTTCAGAATATCATGTAGAGAATAGTCTAATGTACAAAATGTGAAAACGTATATAACAATGAAATAAAAGTAAAGTATTTTCTTTTCTATGAATTAGTTGAATGGCAAAACATTAAAAAACATCTTCTTTGAACTGGAGTTCAAATTTGGGATTAGAAGTGCCATTTATAAGATACTTCCAACTCATAGCTGTGAAGCCTGAAGCCTTCTTCAGGAAGAAACCACCAGATGTCCTTCATGTTGGATGAGAAAAAAACCCAACCTGCAGTGAACTCCTATTGATCTGGGGGCAGATAAAACAGAGGCCATGGGAAAAGCTGGCTGTATTTCCCAAAGCACAAAACCAGCATAGGTAAAACTGATTGTTGCTTGTATTTTCAGTGCAGTCCTGAAAGCCTTGCTTGTTTTTACTGTACACCTCTGTATTCTGAATCAATGGTCCACAAGCCCTTGTGGCCGCTGGTTAGCCTGCCAGTCACAAAAGCCAATAATGATGGGAGACTATGACCAACTAAATTTAAAAAATAATTTCAACATTAATGCTTCTGCTCCTATTTCCTGGGGGAGATTGTACCTCCAAGGTGGCTTCAAGGGGCACTGGTTGACCTGATATTCTGCCAGTGCTTAGAAGACAGTTGTCAAGAATTCACATGTAGATAGCCTGTCAGATCTAATTAACATGCAATTACATATTATTATATTTGAATAGCAATATAGTGCAAATGATCAGAAAAGCTACCTACCATATAAGAAAGAATGAATGCCATTTTATGTGTAAAAAGTAGACAGACACATGTATCTGAGGAATCCTTGTTTCCTTTTTAATAGTAGTCTTAATAGCAACATATAATAATGAAAACTGTTTTATAAAAGACATCAGTACTGGAGTACTGACACATAGACATTAGAATTCAACAGGCATCTAGAATTATATTGAATCATAATTATATTGAATCATTGTCCTTTGTAGTGCAGAGCTGCCTGTGATTCAATTTTGACTGTTCATTTAAAACACGTACTGATATTCTTTGTGGGGGAGGAGAGAGGAGTAGACAATAAAACTTCACTTTGTGAGTGTCTTTTATACAGGCTATGTCACAAATTGCTTTACTTCATTAAAAAGATAAGTTATAATAAATAAAGGCTAAACAAAAAAGAAGCTAAACTGATGAGAGGAAAAAAATTCTTCCTAATATCTTTTAAAATCAAAATAAACATGGCAGAAAAATTTAAAAAGGTTATTCCAAATGGTCAGAAGGATAGTCAGAAGGAGAGTCAGAAGTTTCTTGTACTAGAAATGATGAGAGGAGGTGTAAAAAAACCCAAAAAAAGTCATCAGTAGGTAAGTGGAAGGAGGAAAGAAGTATGAAGGAGAAAGATGACTTTATGGAGTAAGCTTGAGTAAGGCTATGGAGAAGAAATACAAATAGTATCTTGAAATGAAAATGGGGTCCTGCATGGCTGTTGGAGGATTTGGGTGCTGTTCACTCCTTTGAGTGCTTGAGTTAGGCTAAAGGGGGAAACTTTCTGCACATACAAAAATAGCAGAAATTGGGTCAGCCACAGAGGAAAGAGTTATGGTAGTCTTAGTGAAAGGAGCTGCAGGCATGGATGGCAAGATCATGTTGAGAAACAAGGTGATGTTTCATCCTTTGGACATATTCTGTTGTTATGTTTAGCTTGTCATTACTCTTTCTTTTCCTAAAATGCCGTTGTTTGTTTATTTAAAGTCAAGACTTTAACCAAGTGAAACGACGTGTTTCATTTCATATAACAGGGCTGTTTCTAATCCACATTCCTGC